AACGCAGCGACTCTGTACGAGGACCCACTCCTGGTGTCACCGCTCTTCGTCAAGCAGGCCCAGGGTGCTTGAAAGATGACGTGCGACAGCTCTGAACTTGCACTCGTGACAGAAGGAGTCAAGCGCACTTTAAAAAAAACATTATGCCGCTTAAAAAATATTTTTGTCACAAATCAAATGTCAGCGTTAAGTGCGACGTTCATTGAGTACAGCCACACTGTGTGATGTTACACATGAAAAAAAATAGAAGTGCTGATATATTTGGATCAGACAATATATATATTTTTTCTTAGACTCCCGTTTATTTGGAGGATACTTTTAGAGTACCAGCCAGTCGGCGAGTCCAGTTAGAAAGTTCCATCTGCTCTACCTCTTAACTGTTTATGCTTTCTTACTGTCTCTACTGGTGTCATCTCAGACCAAGCCACCACTCGATTTGCTTCTGGATAACAGCAATGCACTACCGGTCTCCGTGCAAACACACTTGGCCTTCCTTCCATTCAATCTCCGCCCAGCTGTCAGGCTATTTATTTCCTATCTTCTGCATAAAACCCTGAAATGCCTTCCTCCTCCTTTTTTTTTTTTTTTAAATCAGGGCAGGGGTCCTCAAACTTTTTAAACAGGAGGCCAGTTCACTGTCCCTCAGACCATTGGAGGGCCGGACTATAGTTAAAAAAAAAAACTATGAACAAATTCCTGTGCACACTGCACATACCTTATTTTGCAGTAAAAAAAAAAACAAAAAACGGGCAAAAACACCGCATGTGGCCTTGAGCTGTAGTTTGAGGACGCCTGAGTTAGGGTTTGTTCAGGGAAACAAACAGCTATGAGTGCAATGCAACAAGGGTTTATGATGGGATTAGCCTTTCATCGTCATGAGAGAAGTTGGGGAGTGAACTGAAAATCGATTCACTGAAAATCAATGTGCCGATGTGACCATTGCATTTAAAATATGAGACTAGTACCTTCGACCAGGTTCTACATCCTGGTACGGGAGAGGCAAGGGCAGGAGAAGAGCATATATCTGTGAAATAAGAATATATATTGCATTTAACAGAAACCACCCTCATTCACAGGTAAAGAATAAGGGTTCTGGAAATCTACTCTCTAAAATGTGAAGTGCAACTTAACGTGTATTCAACCGAAGCAGACAGAATTATCTTAAGCATGCAAGCCAGGGTGAAATAGCTAAGCTCCGTGAGATAAAACTAAAATTGCCCCCAAACTACACTCCTCCACCCCATATCTTTCACAATTAAGCAATTTTTCTAAACATTTGATAAAAGTTACTTTATGCGTACATTTTAGTTATGGCATATTATTCAATTTCATTAAGATATCATAGGAATTGATATCCTAAATATTCATTTGGCAAAAGCTACAGGAAGACAACATAAAAATAGTGCAATAATCATCACTCTGTAGTCAAAAACAGTTGTATTCTGTATTTACAGATTTTAGTCTATTTAGAAGCAGCTCCATGCACCATATACTTTAAAATAGACAAATCCTATGTAGTGTCTCTGGCTTCCAGCTGTACTGTAGGCTTTCTAATTCTCTCTCTTATCCTCATTTTTTGTTTTTTTGTGTTTTAAAAAATCCCATGTTCTTTTTTGATTCCAGACCCATCGGAATTAGAAGAACTGTTTTCTCTGGCCAGGCTGTAATAGTACTTGTAGAGTATCCTTGCTGTTTGGATTGCTCAAACTTCACATGTGAAGTATAAATAAGTTTTTGGCCAACGTGTTTATAGCTCTAGCTAATCCCTTTTCCACTAGTTTCTGTGCAGGTATGTGCAATGCTGAAGCTTTTCATGTATGTTCTGGAAATACTAGAACCCTGATTCTTTGCTGGTGGCTTTTTTTTTTTTTCCAGGCAGAGTCCCTCAATCCTGTTTGCTAGCTAGAGTGCCATGGTGTCAGCCCAGCTCACGGCAACCTCAAACTCCTGGGCTCAAGCAAGCCTTCTGCCTCAGCCTCCCAAGTAGCTGGGACTACAGGTATTTGCCACCATGCCCCGCTAATTTTTCTATGTATTTTTAGTTGGCCAATTAATTTCTTTCTATTTTTAGTAGAGACGGGGTCTCACTCTTGCTCAGGCTGGCTTCCAACTCCTGACCTTGAGTGATCCACCCGCCTTGGCCTCCCCAGAGTGCTAGGATTACAGGTGTGAGCCACTGCGCCCGGCCTCGTAGCCACTGTTGTCTGCATAGTTGTCTACACCTGCTTGCATCGTTCACCCTTTTCTTGGTCTGTGAACTCTCATCTCTATGGTGGAATAGCCCCTCGCATGAATATTGAAAAGAAAGCAACTTTCAGGCTAAAAAGGGCTCCCTGGTTGCACAGAAAAACCATGAATTCTAGATACATACTTCACCCCATTCAAAGACATATTCCAGCATAGCGTGGTGTTGGCTTCGGCTTGTTCTTTAATCGTTTCTTATCCTTTGAGTGTGGGTTACATTGTGTGTGATCATAGGACACGCCAACTAGTTCTGCCTGAGAGCATTAGAGGAATTTCCCAGAAGGGATGACATTTCTTAAGTGATTTTTTTTTTTTCCTACAAAGACTCACAGCTTGTGAGCTTGAAACGTACCAACATTGCTCTTTCAAATACACATCCATTAAATATGCAGTTTGGTACTTTTCTAGTAAAAGTGATAGCGTTTTATCAATTTGTCTCACTCTCTGCCCCTCTGTGACTCTCAGCAAAACACCTGTAAGACCAACAGCCAGAAGGAAAAAAATAGAAAATTAACCCATATGGAAGATTGAACCTGTTATTAATGGCGCGTCACCTGCAGCAAGATCATCAGCAACAAGTAAAAGGCCTACCTGGGACTACTGCAGTCCGAGGACACGGAGGGGGCCACCCTGGATGCCAGGAGTCTGAACTGCTGCTGCTGCTCACACCTCGTGCTGGGACCCACGTGGACCCCATTGAGAAAGTGCTCAAGTGCGCCCCCTGGAGACGTGACTGCGCTAGAGCCTCCCCCACCCTCCACCGCACCTGTTGTGCTAGCCGTGGGCAATGTCTTTCCCAGGGTTCATTATACTGAGGTGTCAGGGAGCTGACCCCAGCTCGTGGGCGTGTAGCCCCCACTCTGGAGGGAAGGAACATTCAGTAAAGGTCTTTCAGAACCACAAAAAGAAAAAGAAAAATTAGCCCATATGGAAGATTGAATCTATCATTAACGGTGCTGTGATTTCATCAACCGAAGGAATGAACTATACATATTCCTTGCTCTCAGTAACCAGGAATGAGATGTTGAACAGTGACTTCCTAGAAATCCTCAGTGGAAAATACTGCCCTGTGCAGTGACTGGCAGCTATATAGGAATTCTCTGAACAGATGCTACCTGCTTTTGTGATAGCCACCATGTGAATTGCCTAGCTGTTGGACGCTTAGCTTTGCAGAAGAACCTCATCAAACAAAAATCAATGGCCACGTTAGCCACAAGTTCTCTATCAAAAAGCCTAAATAAATCATTTATGCCTTGTGGGTCAATATATCTCAAACACCTGAGTTCAAGATAATTGCAGGGGCTGGTTACCAATCAGCCTATAATTCTGTAACCTTTCACCTTGTCTTGTGTACGTACTATACCCATTATAAATTTCCCCATTGTTCCCCCAAATCATCTCCCCTCTAATCAACCACCTCCTTCTGCAAAGAAATAACCTAGGAAATACATAATAGTTCTCAGAATTAGCATAACAAAGCTCGTATTTGTTGAACAGGTGCTATGTGCCAAACATTTCTATAGGCATTTTTTTACCTGTGGTTTCTCATTTGACTTTATTCTTATGACAACCTATGAAATGTGCTTTGTTATTCTAATTTATAGATGAGAAAACTGATGCTCAGAAAGTCAGAGAAGGCCTTCAAAGGGATGTGAGGGGAAGTAGTGATTTCAGAATGTCTTTTGAAGGAACAATTTGAAGGCATCGAGTTGGTTTTCTAAGTTGATTTTTCCGACCCTCCTCTGAACGTGTCCGGTTGGTGGTATCTGTGTGCAACTGGTCCTGCCAGTGATTTTGCTCTTGGCCTTGGGGGAGTTGGCCTGCACTACTTCCAGCAGTGCCTTTTCTTTATAAGTCACACCCTTTTATTTAGGAAGTACACTGGTAAACCAAAGTGCTGGAATTAGAGTTCTTGCTGTCACTGATAGAATTAGAGTTCTTGCTGTCACTACTTAATTTGTGTTACAAATGAAAGTAAAACAAGGACAGTTTGCTCTTTTTAGCGATAGCAGATTTCAGTTTCAATCCATCACAGCTGCTTTCGTTATGACTAAGAATTTCTGCTTTTCAGTAGTCTTGGTGTTTCTGACTGTGGACCCTTTTGACAACCAAACATTTCAAGTGGAGAGAGGTTGGTTTGTTTTAGTTTTTTGTTATTAAACCTAAGTGTGCTCCTTCAGTTGTTTGTCATTGTTTGGGGCATGTTTTGTGAAATCAGGTCAAAGATCTTGTCTTTTGCTTCTTCATAGCTGCAATTTCTGGCACTCAGTAGCCCTTCGAAAGAATTTTGTTCCTTTGTCTAGCAAATGAACAGTGGAAATGGTCAGTTGCCTCCATGTATTTAAGTCAGCTAAAAAGTGACTCAGGACACAGTACTGATACATGGCTGGTTTTGATGCAAGTTATTGATTATGAAGGGTTTTTATTTTTTTAAATGAAGATCTTTGTTGAATTATCCAAGAAAGCAGAGCTATGACTAAGAGAATATTAAGTGAAAGAAAAGTGTCACCTGAAAAATGAGAACTATTTGCAGTAGTCGTAGTTGGGTCTAAGTCAGGCAGTTGTAATACCAGTGGAAGTGGTGAGGGTCATTTAAAACCATGCTTGTCCCTTAGGTCTAGTGGGGACAGACTCTGACTTTGGCAGGATGATAAGTGGAATCCTCTCTCTAGTTTCAGTGATTCTCTTTCTTACCTCTTAGGGATAGGAATTTATATGTGTGTTACATTTTCTGATTATACTTTTTTTTTTCCCAGAAAACCCTCTTTCTAGAGCATCTCCTGGTGGTACCATCAGAAATGTCTTCCTTGAGCGGCAAAGTCCAGACTGTTTTGGGCCTGGTGGAGCCCAGCAAACTGGGCCGCACCCTGACCCACGAACACTTGACCATGACCTTTGACTGCTCTTACTGTCCACCTCCTCCAAGCCATGAAGCTATCTCCAAGGAACCGTTCGTGATGAAAAATTTATTTTGGATTCAGAAAAACCCTTATTGCCATAAAGAGAACCTTCATTTGAATGAAGAAACGGAGGCTGTAAAGGAGGAATTGTTGTATTTTAAAGCTCAGGGCGGAGGGGCTTTGGTGGAGAACACGACCACTGGAATTAGCCGAGACGTGCGGACATTGAGATGGCTCGCAAAGCAGACTGGTGTCCATATCATAGCTGGAGCTGGGTTTTATGTGGATGCAACTCACTCTTCCGAGACCAGAGCCATGTCAGTGGAGCAGGTAGAAAGCCCTACATTCTTTAACAATATCTGTTTATAAATTCAGAATAGTCATAATCTTATAAATGCCATTGGCCCAGAGATAGCAGGGCCATCCTACAGGAATTTACTAGCTAGCAAAGACATCTGCCAATTGGGAATCAGATTAGGAACATTTTATTTGATAAAGAAAAAGTGTCAGGGAAAGAGATCTTAATGTACTGGTCATTGAAAAAAAAAAAAAACCCAACATTTTAATCCTTAGATCTCTGTATATTGTATTCGTGCACAACCGTGGTACCACTGTCTGTTTGTAAACCTCACTTTTCCATTAGAAGCTTCAGTTATGCAACCTTCATTTTTTTACCCCCTGGATTTTATAATAATCCTTGATAAAGATTCGCCGTAGGGTAAAACTTGGCAGGCAGAGACTTGGCATATTTGTAAATACGTGTCCTTTTCCTTTTACAAAACAGGAAAGGTAGAAGAAAATTCATCCCCCTGTTTCTGACATAATATGATCTTAAGAATGGGCAGAAGGAAGTAAATCATTTAGGGACAAAAAGAAGGAATAAGCTGCAGAGCTTTTTTGTACATGTATGTGCTCGTTCTCTAAACATGTGTATCTGTTTATATGTGTTGACATATATGTATTGACATGTATGCATTTATTCTTATGTATCTTCCATTGCCTGTTTGATGGGCATAGAATATCAGCTGCAGTCTTTGCAAAGGATCAATTACTCCTTAAACTCCTTTGTATTTCAAAATTGTATCTGCATTATTTTCCTATCAAGTCTTTATGTTTTAATATATTTGTTATTTGAAGACTATGTAGATGACAGGGATCATACATTCTGCCAACCACTCTTAGCAGCAAATATACATTTGAACTCAAAAGTGTAACTGTAGTATTGTACACTGTGTACTTCTATGCTGTGAACAAATAAGAGGGAATTGAAGAATTACTTGATACAATTGACAGATTCAGTGACAGTCTATGTTCTAGATGCTGCTCCTCACATTAAATTATAGATTTTTTCCCCTTAATCTGAATGTACCCTCATCAAGTCACTTTTTACCCCCTATACTTCCCAAAGCTGTAAATTTCTTGTTAAACAATCACAGTAAGGTATTATTGACTCTTAAATTTAGGATAACTTGTTGAATTTGTGATTTGGCCAGCAAAGTGTCTCTCTCACGGGCCAGTATTAATACAATGAATGTTGAATACATTTTCAAAAGAATGAATGCTTCTATAAATAAATTCATTCACACACTGTGGTAGATCTATTTGGATAATTTAGCAATCTGTAAAATGTGTTCATTCTCACTCTTCCTTAGCTTACCGATGTCCTTATTCATGAAGTTCTCCATGGAGCTGATGGAACTAGTATCAAGTGTGGCGTTATTGGAGAAATTGGTTGCTCCTGGCCTTTGACTGAGAGTGAGAGAAAGGTTCTTCAGGCAACAGCTCACGCCCAGACCCAGCTTGGTTGTCCTGTTATTATCCATCCTGGACGGAATTCAAGTGCACCATTCGAGATTATCCGAGTATTGCAAGAAGCAGGTGCAGACATCTCCAAAACAGTTATGTCACACCTTGATAGGTAAGCAGGCTGCCGTACAAATCATTGCAAACCACCATTTGATGAATGGATGATCAGATAAAAAATCAGCAGTAATCAGATCAAAGCCATACTAATTACCCAGAGAAAACCACTAACTTCATGGAAGAGAGTATTTACCCAGTTTTACAGCTGACACTAGCGAAACTCAATGCTGCCATTTTTGTGTCCCTACTCTGTGTCAGATGAACATCCTAGATGTTTTGCAAAAGTCGTTTTCTTTAATTTGCTTAATCCTTCATGACCTTTCATAATAGGTGTTACTGTCTATTTGACTTCTTCGTCTCACGTTGTGATATCACAGGGGCTGCCAATTCCGCTTGCTCCATATTTGCCAGTAGTTGTAGTGATAAATTTATCTGCAAATATAAAGGGAGGGAAAGTCACTTATTTCACCCTGAGAAGAAAACCACAAATAGAAACGATCACATTTGTGTCAGCCGTTGTGGCTTGAATCATCTGAATTTTGGAAAATGCCATTATAAGAAAAATAATAGCAATAGCTACAGTATTTTTTTGGTGGTATTATGTGTTAGTTTCCTATAGCTGCTGTAACAAATTATAGCAAACTGGGCAACCTAAGATAAGAAGAATTTCTTCTCTCACAGTTCTGGAGGCCAGAAGTTTGAAATCAAGACATTGGCAGGGCCTGGCTTCCTCCAAAGGCTGAAGGGTAGAAATGGAATGTTTCTGTCATTTTCTGGTAGATCCAGGCATTCGTTGGCTCATGGGTCCATAGCTACAATTTCTGCCTCTGTCTTCACACGTAGCCTTCTCCTCTCTGTTTCTTCCCTTCTATTTCTTATAAGGACACTGTCATTGGATTTATGGCCCATCTGGGTAATCCACAATGATCTAATCTCATATCCTTTATTTAATTATATCTGCAAAGACCGTTTCCCCAAAAAGGTCACGTTCAGAAGTCCTCATGGACATATATTTTGGGGGCCTGCCCATCAATCCCTACACATTATATTAGATGCATACGGGCTAGTACAACAAATGGTTATAGAAACAGTGTTAATTTTATGAACAAGCCCAATAGTGTTGCTAAGGCTAGTCATTAGCCTTCAGATTGAGTTTATTAAAGAATTACTGCATTATTTTGTTGTTATAAAACATATAAGTGGTGGATATTTATTCATATTAACCTTTCTGTATATCTTTTTGTGTGACTGTATGGATACCCACGGCATGGTTACTATAGAATGTGTATTGCTTTCACAAGATTATAATGTCAAAAAAAAATCATTTAAGTTGAACCATCGTCTGTAATCTCCAAAAACTCTCTGTAGTCCAAGTTTTTACCTCGTTTGTCCACAAGAGTATTGTCTTTGAGTCAGGGGACTATTCCTCTTATATGTTTCCACCTTGATCTCCCACCAAACTCTGTTTCACTTGGCCCATTGAAATCTTCCAGACAAATGCTAGCTCTAGGTCTTCCCTTATTCCTCATTTTCTCACCTCTCTTGTTGTTTCTGCACCCTGAGCAAGTCTTACTTTCCCACCAGCTCAACCAAGCATTTAAAAATATGGATTTTTTTTTTTCTTCTTCAGTTTTATTCAGTATTTTACATGCACTTTGCTGGAAAGGTTTTCTGTGAACATTTAGTCTGCCATACTGCTGGAAACTGGTTCAAGATGGTTCTTAAAGAAGAGTCTTTCTGTCCCTATCTATTTATAGTTAGACATGTATGTGAGTTAGAAAATTATGCCTGGCGTAAATAGAAAACAAGCTTTCGTTGGAAAATGTAAAGTAAACCCTAAGTCCTACCACCATAGTGTTTCCTTGCTCATAAAATCAAACAGTATATAAATTGCAAATGGTTTCTTTTATTTACTGGTAAAATGCATATATGTGTACACTATACCTATATACACACATATGTATACACTTCTATATGTAAACACTCACATATGTGTTTTTTCTCTTACACAATGAAGAACATTACATGATTTCTACTTGGCTGCAATTTCAATGTGTCCCTCTAGAATGGCTCAGAATTGAATGGAAAGATTGGCCTGACATCAGACAATCTCAGAGCAGCCTAGAACACCCTGAGACCATTTCTACAGCAGCCAACCATTCTGTACCTATGTTACGGATTTTTCAGGGCAGGGCTCCAATGCCTGAAAAATATATATATGGAAATATGAGCATTTCAGTGGGGAGGGAGGCAACTGGGGAAAATGGCTTTAGAAAAAGTGGTGCATTTAAAAAAAAAACAAACCATAACTGAATAACATAACAGACAAAAAAATAATAATTCAGGGAGGCAGATGCAGGCAGTGTTAGCTCTCTGAAGTGACTATGTCACAGCAAGACAGTTGCCAGGCTGAGGTTTGACTAGGTCAGCCTTTCACAGGCTCTCTGAGGTCTGCTGGGCTGTGCACACAATCTGATCTGTACTGAAAGGGCAAAGACTTTAGCTTTCCATAATGGGGACAAATCACAAAAGGGCATGTATTTCATGCAACAAAATGCACAGAAGACGCATACAAAAAAAGAGCACCCCAAAACCCAAAAACAAGGCCTCCCCACTCCCTGCAAAAAAAACCCCAAAACAAAACATAAAGTCATTTCACTTCTCTCCCACCATGCCTTCTCAGACATAAAGGGGATGGTGCAGAAGCCACAGGCAGCTGTGGCTGCAAGGTAACAAGTTAAGGGAGTGGCGTCTCAGGTCCTTCTAGAACACTGGGGCTCTCCAACAGGACTGACCCTCAGCCTCGATGGCCCATAAAATCAGTTCATTTTTCCCCCTTCAAAGTATTATTTCTATCATTTGAGGATGCAATAATAAAATATTTCAGTATTTCCCCAAGCACCTAGACACGGTTGAATATTTTTGAGGGTTATATATTAATAAATCTTCATTATGATTCCTGCATTCACGTGGGCACACACACAAATTTTTGAGGTTATATATTAATAAAATCTTCATTAGGATTCCTGCATTCACGTGGGCACACACACTACGACAACAATCGCTACATGGCTTTCCACAGGGGCAGCTGGGACCCTGAGAGGGAAGAGTTAATGAATGACCATCACCTTTGGAGACCTCTGAACCACACGGTTGTCATGTGACTATTTGTGACCCACTTAAGGTCATTTGCCTGGAGAGAACAGCTTGACAAGATAAATCTGCTTCTGTGTCTAGCCGCCCCCCCTCCCAACCATCTGTTCCCTTGAAGAAACTCGACCCCCGTTGGCTGCTGTGGATTTAACCCTAGGGAACATTGTAGGGGGCTGCTCTTAACAGTTAAAGCCACCCTAAGTCAACATTTACTGGAAAATAGCACCAGCACTTAAGTGTTCCTGCTTGCTCTTTTCATCCACAAAGGCTTTCTGCCTTTCAAGTGTTTGTTATAATTTTTACTACTTGTTAAAACTCTACACATATTTCTAGTTGGCATGATACAAGGCTCTATGGGATTGAAGAAAACACCCCATGGATATTTTTTTTTTTTTTGCTATTCATCCTTAAGGAAGTTTTATCCTTAGTGTATGTACTATTAGAGTAGCTGCAGGTCATTTTTATGACTGCAAAATTCTTTCATCACCAATGAAAGCTGGGTGGCAGGTATTTGGGTACAATTGACTGATGAAATTGTTGAACCTTGTCAATGGTGATAGACAGGTGCAGTGTCTGAATCTCTTTTTCTACTTGGGTATCCATTCAGCAAGTCAAAGGGCTTTGATGGAAACCCAGGGCCTAGAGTTTAATTAAGGACACAATGATAATGAAGTGTAGTAATATAGCACATCACTCTCCTTGAAAATTTTTAGCCATGGAAGGTAGAGGAATTTGACCCTAAGGGTTTCTGGAAGACAAGAGAGAAAAACTTAAGGGATGGGCCAACAGCACGTTTTATTCCTTTTGCTCTGATCTTTCAAGCCAGATTGGCCCAACTCTTGGAAATATATAATTTTTTATGCTCTTAATTAGATGAAGTAAGAGACTGTAATATCACTTCATTCATTCATTCCACAAATATTCGAGTGCCTAATTATCATATACAAGATGCTGGGCTGCAGCCTGCAGAACAATCCTCTCTCTGCCTTCAAAATGATTATTCAATTATAATTACAGTGACTTTTAACCTTATGGTTTTCTTTGAAAAGCCACAAAAAATAATTATGTGGTATCCTTGGAACTGTACACATTTAATCGCTAAGAATACTAATGAATTAATGTGAAGTCATTCAAAAAAAAAAAAAAAAGCCTCCAAGCAAAACTTTGGCAGACTGAAATTGAGCAAAACATCTTTATATAGTTAAATAGTGCAGTAGCATTTTTAAAGGAAAAATGGGAATGTTATGCACATGGAATTATTTACAACATCTAGAATCCTATGAATGTGATGCTATATTTATTACTCAACAGTTTATTATTAGGATTGTGTGTAAGCATGCATTAGATACAGAATGTATAGAATGCATTGAGAAGATTGAGTGTACTGTATTAGCAGATGCAGTGTGTAAATAGTATATAGTAAAATCAGTATAATCAAATCAGTATTTAGTCCTTTTGGTTCAGATCCAACTAAAGAGTAAGAAATTTAAAAAATTAGTTCAGACCACAAAGGAGAGATCTGATAAACAGGTGAGAATTTTTGATGGAAAATATTTACTAACACCACTTCCCTTTTTCCAGTTACTAAAGGTCCGTGGACATTTCCTCTGTTTTCACTACAACAGAAGATGGAAAATTATAAAAAAAAAAAAAATCTAGATGCTCTTAACACATCATCATGGCCACTTATATATATATACTTGGGTACAACTGTGAGTCAATTTTACATGATGATTTATGTTGTTTTGTAAAGAGTACTCACTGAGGTAGAAACAAAACCCTTGACTACATTTCGGTTGTAATTGTTTGATGACAGCGGCAGCAGCTATTCTTTCATTAATGCCATGTAGGTTTTACGTCCTGAGGGACAATGGAGAAATAGGGATCCTAGGGCCAGGTTGC